CATCATCCTCCATCACGACAATGCGAGTTCTCACACCGCATACAGAACAAGAGTTTTTAGAGCAAGAAAACATAGAATTATTAGACCATCCGCCGTACAGCCCCGACCTAAGCCCTAATGATTTCTATACTTTCCCTAAAATAAAGAATAAATTGCGTGGACAGAGATTTTCATCACATGAATAAGCTGTGAACGCCTACAAAACGGCCATTTTGGAGACCCCAACTTCCGAATGGAATGGTTGCTTCAATGATTGGTTCCATCGTATGGAAAAATGTGTCAAATTTCGCGGAGAATACTTCGAAAAGCAATAAATACATTTTTAAATAGTAATGTTGTGTCACTTCCTTGATTCCCGAAATTTTCAGTGCCGCCCTCGTAGTAATGAACATATAAACTATAATATTTAGGTATGTGAAACAAGATTAGGCAATAAAATTAAAGGAAATATAATTATCCTACTCACAACAGCAATGCATTCATCTATTGAATAGGTGAAATGACCCTAGCCGTCTTTGTATGTAAATGTTATTTTTATTTAAATTTGTATAGACATATTACAATGTAAATACGTTTGTTTATAAAACAATCGTAATTCCTTAAAAGTCACGAAGAACAAAACTGTATAAACAAACAGTGACAAAATAATCAGCGCTGCAAGTTTAAATACGGGTCAAAAGACCCTTGCCGCCTTGCTAGTGTTAAGGCAAAGCCTAAAAGTGAAATGAAAATGCTTCATTAATTAATTGAAAATGCAGTGAAATCCTTTGAGGTGAAAATAAAGGAACTTGAGGAAAAATTTATTAACCGAACGAACCTTTCCTTCTAACCAAATTAAAATAAATCAGAGAGGTGAGCGGGGCGAGCACCTCTTATGTAAATGATCCTAGATAAAATAATGTATATAATATACATAATGTAACATAGAAAAGTCGAAATATGGAAATGGAAATACTAATCCAGTAACATTTTTGGAAGATCTCAGCAATTATTTAAAGAAAGTTCCAATGGAACGAAACAGAACAGAAGGTATTTGATTTTGTAAAACAACAATTTATTAAAACAATACAATTGCATCATCCAGACTTCAATAAGCCTTATTATTTATAAACAGATTGTTCCTGTGTGGGTATGGCCGGAGTACTATATCAGATAGATGATAATAATGAAATGAGAATTTTAGGCTATCATAGTAAAGCCTCAAAAGGCCCCGAATTATTCGATGATATATGATATATTATTATTCAATGGGTTCAGCAGCTCAGACCTGAACCATTCCTCGTTCGAATATCCATCCATCTTCCTAGAAGAATTCGATAAAGTTGCTAATTATCAAAAAAAAAAAATTAAAAAAAGGTGGGGACTGGATTACATTTTTGTTACAATGAAGTTTGTTACACGTGGGGTCCGCATTGACCCCAATCACGTTTTTAAACAAAAGAACTGAAATTATGGTAATGTCTTACCTTGGGGACCGAAGCACTTTGCCCCGCGTCTCGAGCACTACTGAGTGGGAAGGTACTCGAGGCGACGGTTCCTACATGTTAGGAGGCGTCACTGTGGGAGCAAAATCGCGCGTCTGGGGTACGCGTAGACCCCACGTGTGCTACGGAGGGTTAAATAAATATTAATCTGATAAAAATATTTTGAGGATACGTGAAGTCCTCCAACAAGAGCTGGAGTAGCGAGGCGTATTAATTGCTCCATAACACTTTCATTGATGAGAAGAGACCTGGCATGACACATATACACGGGCTATAATTTTAGTTTAATTTTATTATGACAAAATATAAAAAGAAATAAAACAACGTTTTCTATAACACCTGATTATATTTCATAAATCTCGGCTAAATAAAAAAAAATACAAAATGTATGGGTGAACTAAATTAACAGTTTATTATTGTTGTTTCAATAAAAAACATTTTATTCTCTTTGATGAGTATAACTTAATGACAATTACTAATATTCATAGCATTTTAAACTCGACATTTGTAACAGAGAAACTAGTGATGTAAAGGTTGATATCAACTAAAAATTATAACTAAGTAAAATGTAGTCATTTATATTACCTTCGGCTTAAAACATCTACCTGTATGAATCCGCATCAACACACTTTTAATAGAAATACTATTCTTTTCACTTACTGCATTTTGTTTGGAATAATATTACTAAGTCAATATAATAACAATACATATTAATAACTCATTCATTACAGCTTATATCAAAGTTTACTGCTACTTACTTTCTTCATAAGGACGTGATTTGCATAGTGTCCACGCTTGGCGGGCATACTACCACCGTATCGCGAAGCTCAGTTACAGATTCTCTCTGTCGCCTGTTACGACCATATGAGAAGGAAGTGGGTTCTATTACGCGGCCCCAACTAGAGAAGTCCCTTAGCCATGGCACCAAATTTGACATTTGCTATCAAATTCCATACTTTGCATTTTAGTTCCCATATTTTCCATTGGAATTATATATTGAAATAAACAAGTATTCTGAGACTAATTATAAACTACTTTTTTCTAATAAGACAAAGCAAAACGCCTATGCCTCAGAAGTATATCCCACCAATGTGGGCTGATTCAATCTTAGAATAGATGTCGCCGTCCGAAAACTGGAAGTGAATTATACTCAACTTTGAATGTCCAACCACGAGTACTACAAATTGATGGTTCAATTTGAGTACATTTATTTTTCAACATACTTATTTTGAAAAGGTATACGCCATGTTAAAGATCAAACAGGTATAACTATCTACTTGATTATGATCATGCCCTACCATTAACAGTGGTTCAAGGTAGAGGGAGATATCACTCACAGATCACAGTCAATCAACGCAGCAACTCACAATCTCTAAGAATCTCTGAGCATCTGTGAAGATGACATTAATGCCGGAACTACCCCAATTCCGGATTTAGAAGGCGTATTTTAGCTGGCTAAATAGGTAATTTAGCCGGTTATTTTCGAACGCCTGAAACGCGCAAAGAAGAGATCATTCCGCGAAAATGTTTCACAGTAGACAATATTCGCGGTGCCATATACACCGACCATGCTAATATTTCTCGAACACGTTGTCGAGTGCCGGAATAAACTCAAAAAATAAGTCGAGTCTTAGTTGAACAGTTTCAGATTGGAGGCGACTAAATCTAGTCCAGTTCAATCCCCAGAAGAGACAATTTTGCGCGTTTGCTGCTAAAAACCCCTTTGTGATATCTCCTCTATTTTAAGGCACCACTCTCCTCGTTGCCTCAGCTAGCATCGGAATCCTTGGCGTCGGCATATCGAATGATGTTCAGTTCCGCGGTCACTTGGAAGGGAAGGCCAAATTGGCCTCTAAAAAGCTTATCGTGCTTTGTAGAGCGGGACGACAGTATTTCATCCATACCATCTGGATGATTGGCGGGTACACCACTGTGCGATTTACAAGTAGTTTTCGTTACCGCACAACTTCCTTGTGGAATCGACTACCACCAGCGATTTTCTACAGACTTCAAAAAGGACGAGGTACTCAATTCGACTGTATGTTCTTTTTTTTATATGTGTTACCTTATAACTTTATTTCTACGAGGAACCGATTTCGATGATTCTTTTTTTTATTTGAAAGGCAGTGCTTCTCATGTGGTCCCATATACATTTGATCAAGGTATGACCAATAGTTTTTAAGTTATTCTTAATAATTTATATTGAAGTCTATTCTACGAAATTTTTAATTATTCCGAAGTAAAACAACTTAGGGACCTTCAAGAAAAAGCCTACTACTTCCTTTTCAAAAAAACAAACTTGAACATGAATTACAGGTGCGTTGCCGGCCTTTTCCAGGCCGGCAACGCACCTGTAATTCATGTTCAAGTTCATGGGCGGCGGTAGTTACTTACCATTAGGTGAGTCGCATGCTCCTTTGCCCCCTTTTATATATATAAAAAAATATTTCGTTTGATGTCCTGTCCTACATACTACATAATCATACTTTATGTTATTATAATTATTGATACTCTATGTTGAAAATGACCTAAAATAACTTCTAGTAAACATACCATAACATAACTTATCCTAGATAACATTAGGGCCTTGTTAATTCCTAATAAATCACAGTTACTATCATATCAGGAAAATTTACAAAAACAAAGTGTGTTCAACAAATTTGTGAAAGCAAATATAACATACATTTTCAATTCCGCTTAGTTGTATATTCCATGGCCAGCGAGATTCATCCCACTGCCTTATCGGTTTATTTGTTCAAAATTCAATACTTAACGACTGCAAGCACTATAAAATTCGACATGCAGATTGTGTAAAAATGTTAAAACACTTGTCTGTTCAGACTATTATATTGATTTTTTTTCAGTATTGATATAACCTCGAAACTACAATTTAGTTAATATAAAACTTTTAAATTATTTTTATACTTAGGTGCTTACATTTTTGTAAAAGTACATATGTGGTATACAATAGATAGATAGATATAAATAATTTATGTATTAAAATAAAAATAAATAAAGATTACATTACTGTGCACTGTCACATGCACACTTACGTTATATTGTCATACCCTTAAAAACCATGTGCAAATAAAATGTTTTCTTTTCACTAATGTAACAGTAAAGTAATAACGATTATAATAATTGATGATTTTATTTGTGAAAAGTTAAAACATTTGTTCCACATAATTTTAACTAGTGAACATTTCTCCTAAACCTTTTGTTTATTAACAAAGACAATTTTGTATTGATAATGCCTATTTTTGTCAGGATATTTTTATCACACACTGTGGTACATTCTAGGCAGAAGAAATGTGGATAAAGATTTGCTGCCATCTCTTGTTATCTTATCAGATTGATTAACAATCATTAAAACATTGATGATGTTCATCAAAATCTTGAGTACACTATCCTTGTATTATTTCAACAACATGCCACTATGTCAGTGTCAGCACCTTATTATACACAAACACAAATTTCAAATTGTCCAAAGAATAACACTGGCTGGCTGGCTAGAAACTAAGATTTCTGACCTTTAGGCCGATGGTTTGAATTTGTGTTGCAATTTCCTTCAAGCTGTTGCCGCATTGAAGTGTTTTCCTTACGAAGTTCCGTAAGTTCTTGATTCAGTCTCAATATTTCTAAAATAAGTTTGTCATTGTCTACTTCTAATTTTTCTAACCTACAAATAAAAATGAGTTTTACAATTAGTAAGCAAATTGCGAAGTATAATTTAACAATGAAACTAAAACAAAAAATAATGACGTCTGCTCAACAAGATGACGGCGAAGAATGATTATTTGAGTTAAATTGTTATTGTATATAAGAATTTTACTTAGGAATTGCACGAAAAATTAGTTTATACCATATATTAGTAGTTATAATATATTTATATGCCCAGACTGATGACGGGAAGTAGTGTCACAAAGACTACTACAATGGTGAATATGTCTATCAAAGAGATGATGGCAAATTCTTTTAGCTATAGAAGTTCATGTCTAGCATTAATATTTACAGAATAACGAGTATGAGAATGGATTAAATATCTAAACCTATCTTAGGTTCTATGAAGTCAAAAAATGAAAATTGTACAAAAACGAAAGACAACAAATGAGAATGTCACAAAGTTGAAGTTGGTTAATGACAATAACATAAAATCATCTTAAAAATTGTTAGTTAAAAATTTTCGACTATGAATTAGACGAATCGGATCTACATCCAATGTTGTATTATACAAGAAACAGTAACATAAAGGCAAAAGTCCACCTGAAGTAAGTGGAAGCTGGGATCTCATGTTGTCCCTCCTAAGTACTAAGATGTAATGCCTCATTACCAGTAAATAGCACTTTGGTTCTTGGGGCCCACAAATTCTCAGCACTCACCATACAAATCACTGCAGCATTATAGTGCCATTTTACGATGGTATTCTGTGAGTGTGGTTGTTTCCTGGTAGAGCAAACCCATTAGTGCTGCATTAATTATCGATTGTACAAATCGACAAAAGGCATATTATCGATTTGCATAAAGAATACACTACAATCGATTTTCTAACTTATTTCTTATTTTATTGTTTTTTCGAAATCTAGATTGTAAAGAGCTACTTTTTTGTATTTTACTTAAGAAAAATATGGGTAATTTTTTAAAGTATAAACCAATTAGTTAACTTCAGGCCCAAAAATCCCATTCTCCTTTTAGCACCTTTGTACGATTATTTCACCAATACTGTGCTCTACGTACCTTAATATTTTTAGTTCCCATGACATAAAGTGTCGCCATCTAATGTCGAATATATCTAATTATATTTGAAAGCCGATTTAATTTTTGTTGCTTAATTTTTAATTTAGATATTGATATATTTACAAAGGAATATTTAAGCATTTTCTAAACATTTGTAATTAATTCACATATCAGTAACAGCGCTCAGTGCTTTTACTTATTTTCTTAACATACATGGTAGAGGCACACTGCAGCTATATTATGGTTGTAGCACGGATGGGTAGATTCGACCGGGGTAGGACCACACAGAATACCAACGTAAAATAGCAGCTTAACGTTCCTGTGTTTTGTATGGTGAGTGTAGAGAACCGGAGACCTTTTTACTGGAAACGAGGCATTCCATCTTAGTCCTCAGATGTGACAACACATCTGCATTTGGATTCGTAATTGAGGATTAATATAGATTGTTTATGGGCCACATCATCCATTTACCATCAGGTGAACTGTGTGCTCGTTTGTCACATTCTTACACATTCAAACTATTGCTAGGTTGAGTTTTGATAGGCAGTAGTATACTATTGTGAGATATTATTTAAACCATTGCAATATTATATTCGGTCTTTATTTGTGTTGTGCACTTGTAAAAACTAAGCAGTAAATGAAATCATACTACTTTTTAGGAGTATTATTAGTCCTGTGATAGTATTTATAACAAATCTAACCTTTTTTGTTTTTCCGTTAGGTCAGTGATGTAGTCACATGCTTTAGCCAGTATACCACCTTTGCTAGCTGCATCTGGTAGACCAGAGTTGGGAACTAGAGCGGCCAATTTTGTTATCCAACTGTTGATCTTATCCCGACGACGCCTCTCAACTTCGTTGTGTGTTGCACGCCTTTTGTCGTCCCGCTTTAAAAAAAATGTTATGGGAATAAATGAGTTATTTACTAACACACAAAGGCGGATCAATAACTCCGCAAAATATAGAGGTGAGTGTGTGTGTGTGTGTGTGTGTCGGCAGGGGATTTTATTCAGTGTACAGGGATTCCTGTCTTTGGAAAATTAAGATTTACAAGCAACACATTCTCTTTAAACATGCCAGTGACTCGTTTAAAAAATAATGGGGTCTGTTGAGGCTCTGCGGAAAATATAGAAAAAGTTGAACTGCCCATTTTGAAGAGAAAGACAAACCATTATTTTGTCGACGACAATGTGTAAGTCTCAGATTTTGAGGAATATATTGAATAGGAAAAAAATGTAATGTATAATTTCCAAGTTCTTGGTCTCCATTCCGCGAATTTTTTTACCTCTCTTAGTCACACTCATATGTCACAGTATTAAACATATCAAGGGATATAATATATAAGAAATTTACTTTACAAACTTCAACAATAAACATCTCTGTAACTTAAATACAATAGTGTTGAAATAGAGAATTCCTACTAAACATAGAGAAAACTATAAATTACGAAAAATATTTTATTATTAAGGAATTTTAATTCAAAATACTTTTTCAATTTGTTGCTCCATTTTTTCTCCAACTATCGTAGTCTGCCTGTATAAAAGAATTTAGATTTCATAGAGTATTACCACAAGATATTTTGAAATATTTCATTCATAGATTCATTGTGGTATTTTCTGCAGCTATTGCATCTATAGATTTTATTGCACCTCATCTCGCCGTTATTTTTAATACTAGTATAGAATTTGGTGTTTCCAGATTTAATCAAACATAGTAGTCATACCTTTATTTAAATCAAAGGCTTTTTATTTATCACACTTCAATATAGTTTTAAATTCAGATTTCCGGCGGGCACTGACCAGGGCCAGGACGAACGGAAGTGCTTCAACTGCTCAGTAATTTTTTTTTTTAAATAAGATATAAATAAAAATAAAGTTTTGTTGTTTCTGTCTTCATTGTGTGAAGACAGAAATGCGATGTTGGGCATTGTCCATATGTTAGATTTTATAAATTGACTTTGTTTTGCAATAATTACTTAATTTTATACTTACTTTTTTACAATGTCGTACTTACTTTCTTTGCTGTTGTTACTGCTTTAGTTTGTAATGGCTGCCTACGTATAGGTTTCTTAGCACCCGGAGTTGACGTAAATACCTCTCCAGGATTTGTTATTACATAGTATTCACCATTAGGAAGTACTGAAATATTTAATTAAACAAATGAATAGAAATCTACATAAAACAATAAATATTTTATGATGTAAAAGTTGCTAGTATACAAAAACCCTTTACACTAGACTAAGATTTTGTGGTTGGCCTCTTCCACAGGTAAATAAGCAGTTTGTCTGTATCCAACATAAGGTTTGAATTATTTTATAAAATAACATTCATAAACATTTTAATACTCGAAAGAAGCCTTCCCTTATATCTGAGAGTGTTATGAAATAGAAAATATTCTGTCACACTTCAGTTCAACTCAAAACTCAAGATTTTTCTCATAACACTTGCCTTTTTCACAAGATCGCTTATTGCAAAATCTACTGACGTTAACAGAGTGAAATAATTTTTAATTTTTAAGAGAATATCATCATAATGGCTGTAATTCAAGGTCATAAAGGATATTTACATCTTTGTCTTGCTTTTGTAATTAATTTTTGAGCATTATTTTACTTATTTTTTTAAAATGTACTTACCATTAGTAGGTGAATGTGATGCCATATTATTATTACTTTTTTCACCAGTCATATGAACTAGCTTATATGTTACAGCCCCAGCTGAAATAACCAAAAGAAATATATGAGGTATTGACTTTTGGATTGGATTTCCAGTTTAAAAATCAATAAACTAGATTTAGAAAGAAGACGGTTGGTTATCGGGACCATAAAATAACACATATCATTGCTGTGCCTGCAAAACCTCAAAAAAAAAATTCAAACTTCTCAGTAGGAACAAAAACAGTTACATTTAAATTTAACGTCATTTTAATATAAATAAGTTTTTATATTATAATATAATTGCTGAATGAATGGAAACCTGCAAGACATTAGTTTTTGAAAAATTTACAGAGATTGCAGTTATTTTAAATATTATTCAGACTTAACTATGCATAATTTAACAATGAATAAATCTGTAAGTATAATCGACTGCAGTAAGTTCCACAAAGATGTAACTGATTTGCTACAACCATAATAGCTGGATACATAAAATATAATTTTTCATCTTGTTGTTACCAGACCATTAGAAATTTTGTAAAGATTACGATATACACGAAATCAAAAAGAAAAACATAAATTGCAATAATATGATATTACAAATATCATAACTATTTAGACATAAACTACATATTAATAATCAAGGCACGTCTAAACAGCCCATGTTTCCCAGAAATATGTGGCTGCAATACTGTGGCCGGCAATATTGCTAGCGATAGCGGTGATACTATGCAATATTTTAAGTATACCCAAACATTTTTTGGTTTATGTTAAAAAAATTTCATGTGTAGCCGTTGTGTTGCCGAATGATTGCCTCGCAATCAAAAATACTGCAATGTTGCTGGGCCATCCATTTTGTTGTTTCGTTTTACTGTATATGCGCATTCTTTTCTCTGTTTCAATGCGACGTAAAGTACGCTGCACATCTCTTTCTGCGCGATGTGAATTGTGCTGTGAGATTCATTACTTCGCGATAGTATATAGCGATCTGTGCTAGACTTGGGGAAAAGCCTTATTTTTAAATAACCGTTACTGTCGTTCCCAAAGATTTCAATTTTTTATTTTATTTTTTCTTTCATTGTGTGGCCAATTTAGGGTTCAAAATCATTGTCCACGCTATTTCAGCCATATTGCAACCTGTAGCCAAGCAATTGATTGCTCAGTGATAAAGTGCAATAAAATGTTTTTGTGATGGCCAGGCAATGTTTGCAGCCACACATGCCGGAAAATATGGCCCGTTTAAAAGAGCCTTTATAGACAGCCAGTTTGGTATGTCCAATTCGTGTCTGAAAAACTTGATATTTAATAATTTTTTTGTTTATTTATTCCTTCTCAAATAATTAAATTAGACATTAACATTGATTTTTTGATTGATTGACAAGGTCTACAAATGGTATATTGATAGCTAGCCCTTATACAATTGCAGTGGTTGCATTATTTAGGGTTTTGTTTATTTGACATATTTGTTGAAAAACAAAACCCAATAATTAATTAGATATTATTTAGATGTTATACAATTAGGTACATCATTAAAACATTATATTATTTAGTCAATTGCAAATTTTCTATTAATGGGAATTTGAAAACAATAATTTTATACCCAAGTAGGTACATTAATTTAAAAATAATATTTACAACTAGCGACCCGCTCTGGCTTTGCCTTGTTGGGATCTATTAATGTGGCATTATTTAGACTTAAGATAATTCCAGATCAGATCATAAATTTTTTGGAATAAAATTTAGTCTAGATCACTCCTAGTATTACTCTCTACTTGTTCGTGAAGTTTTATTACAATCGGTTCAGGCAAAGGTTGGTTTGAACAGAAAGTCAAATGAAAATTTTAAAAATGATTACTCATGTCTTATGTAAATATTTTACACAAATATATTAACATATAAAATCAACAATAATTATGAAAGCTCACGGAACACGTCATGGCTCACAACTTAACAAAACCGGACAGCTATTTTTGTAGTTTATGGCATTTTGTTATCATTGATCCAATAATCGCAACATAATTTGTTTTGCAGTCTTTACCGGCAAGTGTGATAGCGAGAGGTGAAATGAGGTGACACTATTTTCAATCCCATTCTTTGACCTCATCACATGGGTAGTAAGAAGAAATATTGAAACTTAATTACATAAAACAATTACAGATTGTTTGTAAATCATAAAAGTTCACATTAAATCTAACATAACATGAAAATAAGTGTTTTAAATACACTGGCCTCCAAAAAAAAAATCGACCCACCTACGTATTTTCGCAAAAATGTGTCCTATGGGTTTTTATCACAATCGATAGATATTTTTTATCTTGATAATGTAATAATGCAATTATTTGTAGTTGTAAAAAATTAAAAAACGGCACGTGAAATGGGATATTTTATATATAAATGTGATGAGACATTGAAACTGCTATTGAAGTCCATTTACATTTAGTAGTAGGTCAATGACTAGACTAATAAAAATAAGATCTATACCTCATAAATCTTAAAAATTGAACCTTCAAATCGATTGCAGGTTTAATTTTAGTTTAGTAACATTGAAATTAAAAATACAAATTTGAACATTGAAGTAAAACAGTTTTTGCTCTTGAACTAGACATTACACATTAGTGTAATGTTAATTATAAATTATTCAAAACTTGGTTTACTTACACAAGTCTCGAAAGTTATATCTCGTATTATTTTCTTCTTCGTTGGTATCTAAAAAGCTTGAAGGCACATACTGGGGACTTTGTTTGACGTTTTCTGAAAGGAGTTATAATTAAATTTATAATTACAGGCAACTTAATTCAATAATAAATATCCTAACATACAAGTTATTAACAACTGACAATTCTCTTTCCTAAATCTTGTCACAAAACCTGAAAAGCTTACGATGAAAACCTAGTTTTTATAAGTATACGATGAAAATTTAAAGCTGAGAATTAATTTAATATTTTAATACAAAAAGTTATTAGAATCGTACCATAAAGTGGATCATCCATCACTACTAGCAATTCACTGTCAGCACTGGAAGAAATAAAGTACAGTAAAGTAAAATATTTTTATAAATCTTGAAACAACTAGCATTTTGGCAAATTGCAAAACTAAAATGATGACCTTCATTGACAATCAAATAAATTAATTATATAAGCCTACTTTAATTCTTCAAAATAGCGCACAAATATCATTTTACCTGTTATCAAGTGAATTTTCGTGTACGTCAATGTTAATTTCTAATTTAGACATTGCGCGTAATTATTTTTGAATTTTTCTCCACTTGGTCACGGGGACAAATAAATGGTCATGTGATAAAACCACAAACAAAAGGTACAGATAATGGCTATATGTAGATAACAAAATGTTAACCAAATAAATGATGTGCATGGAGTATAGAGTCTACTCTATACTCCACGGAATATAAAAAACAAGAGGAAGCCCAAAGTGGGCGGGGCAGACGTGTCACAATTAGTGACAGTAGAGCGTAATAGAACGTCAGTCGCAGATCCACTAAGTAGTCTGTGGTCGCAGACTCAAATTGTTGCGAGCTGACTGGTCGTTGCTTGAGTGATATATGCGAAAATATGCTGTTTTGTGCAATTTAGGAGTGTAAAAACGAAAGTAAAAAATAAAAATATTTCGATTAGAGGTGTTTTCTAACAAAGGCACGTGTAATTTTTAAATATTTTGGATAGAATCTTAACTAAACATAGACAAAATGTCAAATTGTCTTTATTACAAGCAATATTCAACCTTATTACGTTAAGATAAGGTTCAGCTGTAAACACATTTTGAATAAAATAGCTGCGATAGTGTTGTAACAACGCCGACATTAAAATATACGAAATTGTAGGGTGAAGCCTACGAATGAACATTTGTTAGGGTTGCTAAGCCAGAGAAATAAGTAAGTAGTTTAGTAGTTCTCATGACTTTTGGAAAAAAACTGAAATAAAAGTGACCATAATATCATGATCTACATTGGTAACCGAATTCATTATCATCTAAAATTTTATATTAAAGTGTGGACATGATAATTTTTAAACAAATATGTGTTATTTCTACGACAATAAACAATTGCTAAATTATTGTTTTTTTTATTCTCCTTGTTTCCATTTCAAAAATGATAATTTAGCTTATTGTAAATAAATTTCCATTAAATACAATTAATTATATGCCGGCTATATGAATTACAGGGATATACATGGTACATTATGGTTATTTCCATTAAATTTTGCTATTTTACTCATTTTATCATATATATATATATATATATATATATATATATATATATATATATTTTTTCAATTTAGTTTCTTCAGTCAATTCATATACATGATAATAATCATAATTATACTGAATATCTATATAAGCCAGATCATGTTCGGGCAGATTAACTACATCACTAACATCATTCACGTGGCAGTACAGGTTAGTTAGGGCATGAGTAGGGCAATGTCAACGTTATATCTATTGTCATTATGTCTCATATAGCGTGAATTTATTATTGCGATATCTAACGTTAAGAAGCTAAGTTTGCTCACTAATTATAGAAACTTCGTTGATGAAAACGAATATAATCTCTATTCTTAAGGACTTATTGTTCATACTCAAATGAATGGTGAGTAACATAATGCCTTTCTATTTTATTTTTAAATAACCAATCACGCGAAAATTATTGAAATGGTACACAATTGTTAATACACATTTCTTTCTTGTGCATGTGTGAGTGTGGCGACAGTGGTTTCGCTACAAATTATGCGTTTTGCTCACAGAAATCGTAATAATAAGACACTAGAAGTCGCATCGACGCGTGACCTTGTCGCCGCTATGATGTGTTGACGGACATCATTTACACATTTTGTGATTTAGTTGCGCGGAACGTCGGACGTGAATTTATGTTATTATAATGGTGAACTGCAGCATAAACGGTTGTAAAAACTCATCAAGGACGTGTAATTCAACTAATAAAGGCATAACCTTTCATCGGTAAGTTGATTATTTACTAATTATCATTGTTATAATTAATTTACATCTAGATGAATACTTTACTATAATATTTACATTTGTAAACTTTCGTTTATTACTTTTCGTATTGTACATTACCATTGCTGCTTTTGTTCTATCGTAATACGCAACGTACGCGACGTTGACAAAATCGCTAAGCAATGTAATGTGAACATTAGATATCATTGTGAATTGCGTATGCTTATAATACGGCTGCAGGCATCGGTCGCACGTTAGTGGTGTAACCGTGTCATTCATTTGAATGAAAGCACGGGTTATATCGATGTTTGTATAAAGGGATATTTTTAGATTCTCGAACGTAAAAACTAAACAACATTTGAACGTAAAATATTCTTAATAATAATTATACAGTAATTTCATTAATTAAATTATTTGTTAAAATTTAATTATTTGTTTAAGTTTGCGTCTATAAATGTTTAGCATGCTGATAAATGTACAAAAAATGTTGTTTTTTTAGGAAGTATAAATAATTATATTTACTAGAACATATTTATCAATTATTTCTAGATTCCCAAAAGATCCTGATATTAAAGAAAAATGGATAAATCTTACTGGTAGACAGGACTGGTTCCCTACAGAAAATAGTCGAATTTGTTCAATCCATTTTCAAGAAAATGATTTTAATGTCACTGCTAAAAGATGCAATTTAATGAAATCAAGCATACCCACATTGAATATATGGAAGTTATGCTCTGAAAATGTAAGTTTCAATACAATCTTTAGTCAAAACATAAAAACAATGTAATAATGTTTTAAAGCGACAGTGGCACAACGTAACAGATGTAATTTTTAACCGACGAAAAAACGGAGGTTCTCAAGTCGACGTGTATATTTTTTTTATGTATAACCACGCATAACTTTTTACAGAGTAGTCCGATTTTGATAATTCTTTTTTTATTGGATAGGGTATACCTCGAAATTGGTCCCATATAAATTTGGAAAAAAAATATCTACCCTAAGGGTGGGAAAATAGGGTTTAGATTTATTTTTTACTCACAGATTTTAATTCTGAGTGGTGTATTACTACATTACATAATAATTACACTACATTACATTACATTACAAAAAACCTCACGATGAATGAGCTTTAGAGCTGTCAGTCTCTTGTGTGTAGACCTCTCAGTCTCTGCATTTCTGCTAAAGCTCGTTCATCGTGAGGTTTGTGTAATACCTTATTTGGCTCTAAATCAGATATAGCAATACCCTCAAGTGTTTTTACTCTACTCAGTGCCACATATGCCTGCCCTTTGGCAAACACTTTCTTTCCGAGGTCGATTACAGCTTTATCAAGGGTTGCACCTTGTAATTTGTGAACCGTGACGGCCCAGCATAAAATTATCGGCAACATCCTGCGCTCAATATCGCCATTACCCTTCGTATCTTAAAAGGTGGCTACCACTGAAGGTATGGCGACACAGCCATCGCTATCTTTTAGTCTGCTTCCTATGCTTTCATCGTCAAATTTTACTAATACGCAATCCGGTAATTCTCCTTCCTCTGGTTGATCCCTGCGTAGTGATTGCCATTTTATTATTTTTACAATACCCATAGCACCATTGACGAGCCCGTCAGATACTGATCGTTACGTCTTAACATCACACGAGATTTGACAGCTAATTTTACTTCAGATAAAAGTCCACTACAATTGTTCACATCTTTTGGAACAACATTATCTGGAGGTTTCTTCTCATATGTAGCAAATACAATTATTAGAGCATTTAACAAATTGTGAAATCCTTCTTCACTATTGTCGTTGTCTACGTGACCATTAAAGGCTGATTCATGAAGAACATTGATATCAACTTTTCGATTGTTGTATGTGATATTAGGTAAAAGCTCAGTTGCAGCCAAATATTCGATATGAGCTTCTTCGGAATTGAGGTTAGCCCGAGCTGCAATACAGTCTAATATTTATCTCATACCATTAACATGTAATCTATGTCGCTTTTGCACCAATTATTGGTATTTATCAGAGAAAATGCCACACTAGTAACAGTTGCAATCCCTGTGCATTGCCGACCACGTGACTTTGGACTAAATCGTTCATTGTCCTGATGAAAAGAATCATATAATATAGATACATTATTACTCAAGCCAGTATAGTTATTTGTAGGTACAGTTGACCGTTCAGCAATTGACTCTTCACTATTATGACCATGTGCAGGTGCGAACATCTTTATAGAGTGCATTATTCATTAGGAGCCACTGCAATGCTAATTGAAGTTTACATAATCTATTTGAAACTCCCTAGAACGTTCAAAATTTTCACGACTTTCTACTACAATCACTAATCCAATTTGATTAGGTTCAAGCGGAAGTTGCTCCGCCAGCTCGACCACATCCTAAACAAAAATAATTGCCTGCCCCTTTTACCAGTCTTGGCTCAAATGATTTTGAACTTTTATTATTTTAAGAAATGGTACTACCTACTCTGCAAATAAAACGTTTCTCAATTTACGATAAGTCATCGATTTCTGTAGGCATTACAGCTACCGACATTTTATTCCAATAGGCCTACGGTGAAGTGTTGTTTTTTTAATATTATTTGAGCATCGTGAACAAGTAATAATATTACTTAAAGCTATTCTTCAATTCATTAGGGAAAATAGAGCCTAAATTTGTAGTTTGCAATATCGTACGTTGCTGAGGATACAAATCTTTTTCGAATATTGAACACGGCAAAGCAGCATAAACATTAATCGCTTTCTTAAAATTTTCTGCATTACACTGGTTCTCTCCTCGCGAGTTTCGTGAAGTACCACAATTGCAGAACAGTTACGAGCAGCATCCAAACGTAGCAAATGTTCGTCTTCAGTTTCATTTGAAAGACGCTCTCTTATCAGACCTAAACGATGAGCGCGTTGTTCTTCACATTCTTGCGGCAACCTATCGTTATTGTAGCTTCTCATCTTCGACAGTCTTTCCTCACGCTGATTTAAACACTCCTGTGAACGTGTTAATCTAATTCTCTTAATATTTGCTTCCAAACTTTTATTTTTCTCATCATTAGATTCTTCTAAATATATTTTTCTCATTCGAGCAGCATTTTTGTAGGCCTACCCATGGTGGTATATAAAGCCTGTTTTTTTAAAGAATTTATATTATTATACAACAAATAATAGTTAAAGTAGGATTATATAACAGTTAAAGGCTAAATTAAGGTAGGTAGCTAATTTGAAAGTAGTCAAAAACTAAGCATGTAGTAATTAGTAGATTATAGCCGT